TAAGCATGAAGTTGAAGTTGGGTTCTGATTGCTTCCTTGAGGTGAATAACACCAGCTCTGGCAACAATCAGTATTCTACATCCTTGAAACCCATGAATTCTGTGTTCCATACTTGAGATGTAATTTTGATTATCTCTACTTATGCCTCAGTGTCATGAAGGTGAAATTTGATTTTTTTTTTTTTGAAACACAGATTGAACTCATGACCTCATACTTGCCAGGCAGGATTTCATGTTACTAAGCTAAATAGCCAGCAATGAATATGTTTTCTGTATACTATGGAACATGTCAAAATTATTCCTCAGAAAGTGTTGAATGTTGTTGGAATTTTACTATAATGTACAGCTATAGTTTTTGAAATCAAACCAAAAGTGTCTTATGCAGTCAGTTTTCAAGTTTCACTTTGTGGGATTTTACAGTCAGGACCTCTCTATTTCATACAGTTCTGTAACTGAGGTTGGCCTCAATCTCAAGGCATTACTCCTGAATCATCCTCCCCAGATATATTTCTTATATCTGAGTGAAAGGTAATCACTTGGTGACACTAAGCTATAATTTACAACTTGTGCCTGGTTCCATTGTTTATACATTGTTTACATAAACAATTTTCCATTAACATTTGAGTTATAATTTAGGTACCACATTTCATTTTATTTATGTTTTGTTCTATGAAATGTATTTCAAATTTCAAAATGCTTCTTAAGTATATTAAGAACAAATAACTCAGTGGCCTAAATAAGATTTGAAGAGATATCATCTGTAATCTATCAAAGTTATTGATGAGATATTTGTCTGCCTTTGTGCTTTGTGAATGCTGGTCCTGCAGCCTCCCATTGTGAGCTCTGCTTTACAGACAGTGCACAGGGACTCTTGCAGTGACTCAGCCCAAAATCAATGCTCCTTTTTAACTGTTACATTAAAAATGAGTTGCAATCGAGCATCAAAATTACTGTCTCAAACAATGTGTATATGCACAAAATTAATGACAGAGACATGGAATTAAGATTTGTTAAGTTTAGTTTTATTGAGACAGGCTTTCACTATGTATATCAGCTGTATTTGGACCCCCTATGTAGGCTAGAATTGCCTTGAACTCACAGCAGCCTTCCTGTTTCAGCCTATTTATTGCTGGGATTAAAGATATGCATGACCATACTTAGTTTTTGATTCACATTTTTATGAGAGAATTTAAGATGTCCCAGGCTTGAGTCTCAAACTTCTTTTGAGAAATACATGTGTATTTCTCATGTGGCTGTGAACTTCAGCAGTGAGGAGTGGACTTTGCTGAGTCCATCCCAAAAGAAAGTCTACAGAGATGTGATGGAGGAAACCTTTGAAAATGTATAAAATTGCATATAAATGAGTATAAAAAACATACACTTTGAGTTTTGATAGGATCCGACCTTCAGTTTACCTACCCATGTATACATTTGAGTACAAAACAATCATTATCAAAAAATTGCTAAAACTGCAGCACAATTTGAAATATAAATGAATGCTCATGTTTCAAAGCCATTCTCAAGAGAATCAGTCCCTTCTAATTAAAATTCTTAGTAGACTGGTGTTATGTTAAGTGAAGTTACACTGAAAATCATTATGCAGTAGTCTCTAGAAGTTGATCCCATCATACTTCTCCTGAATTGTATTTTCAAAAGAGTCAAAACAAACATAAAATACAGATACATGCTTATTCATATGCAAAGCAGATCAAGTTATAACAGATGAGGCCTTGAAGCAGCTTAGCTATCACTGGATTTGTGGAGAAGGAAAATATTAATAGTTTCTGTGTGAGTGTGCATTCTTGTAAACCCAGCACCCTGGGAATAAGATTTTGCAGAATGGCAAATTCAAGTTCAAACTTAAAAGCTTAATCATCAGTGAAAATCTCTTAAAATAAAGAAGCTAGACATTTAGTGCTGACACCTGTGGCTGATTTTGAGTATGGAAAACAATAAAATATGTGCTATGTAATCAGTGAAAAATAAATAATGTAATGTCATTTGCCATAAAAATAATTGGTTGCTCCTCCCATCAAGTTCCGTGAAATAGCTCAGCTACAAAATGTAAAAGGTCACAGTGTTTCTGTTAGATGAGACACCAAAATATAAATTGTGGGGTGAAATGAAAGAGAGTTGATACAGAAAGGTAAGCCTGATCATTTGGATAAGGGAACTACAGGCTAAGGACAGAAAGGAGATGGCTATTGGGGAAAAATCAGAATGATCAATATGTGATACACATATAGACCCATGCCCAAAGTGAAGCTAAATGTTTTGCATTTCAAAATATACAAACTTTTAAGATTCCCAAATGTATACCACTCTTTTGGAAATGGTTGTTTTCCAAATATCTTGCAAGGCATTCAGTTACTTCATTGTCAGAATTTCTTAGCAGGCATCAAAACTGAACTTGTCATTAAGGCAGTCATTAGTACAGAGACCCATTTCAGTGTGATTTTTTTCCTATTTTAAATTTTATTTAAAGAAAGACTAAATACAGAAAATGGGTAGAAATTATACTACTCTCAAAGAAAAAAAATAAATAAGAAGTAACATGTTGATGATTACATGATATCCACTTGTAAGTAGTTGCTTAAGACACAAAATTGAAGCATATAAAGTGGGGTCTCAAACAGCTAGACTGCAAAGAGTTCTATTTAAATACCCAACAAAAACTTAGTAATATAGTTATCAGTCCTATATGTAATTTATTTCTTTACAGAAATGACAAGTTAGGAAAATACTATGGACTTACATCTTGCAATCAGTATAAAGAAGTATTCCTTTGTACTCCAGAAAATATGGTTGTGAAAGAAACAGACACAAACTATGATATTCAGATCCATGAAAAATATCAAAATAGAGGGAAACATATGTATGTGAGCAATGTGGGAAACTTTTGCAACATGTGGAGATTATAAGAAACATAAAAGAATTCACACTGGAGAGAAACCATATGTATGTAATTTATGTGGGAAAACTTTTTATACAGGTGGAGATTGTAAGAATCATGAAAAAAATTCACACTGGAGAGAAACCTTTGTATGTAAGCAATGTGGGAAAGCTTTTACCGCACATGGACAGTGTAAGAAACATGAAAGAATTCACAGTGAAGAAAAACCCTATGTATGTAAGTAATGTGGGAAAGCTTTTACCCAACATGAAAATAGTAAGAAACATGAAAGAATTCACACTGGAGAAAAAATTCTTTTATGTCAGCAATGTGGGAAAGGTTTTACCACATGTGGACAGTGTAAGAACCATGAAAGAATTCACACTGGAAAGAAACACTCTGTATGTGAGCAATGTGGGAAAGGTTTTACCACAAGTGGGCAATGTAAGGAACATGAAAGAATTCACACTGGAGAAAAACCATATATATGTAAGCAGCGTGGGAAACTTTTTACCCAATGTGGACGTTGTAAGCAACATGAAAGTATTCACACTGGAGAGAAACCCTATGTATGTCACCAATGTGGGAAAGCCTTTATGCATTTTCACACCCAAGATAAACACATAGTTAAATTATATAAAAACAATTATAATTATATAAAAAACACAGTACAGCTTACCAGAATCTGGGAGATGCAATGAAGGCTGTCCTCAGAGGAATATTTATTGCACTGAGTTCCCACATCAGGAAAACAAGGAATATAAATAAACAACCTGATGCTACACCTCAAACATCTAGAAAGACAAGAGCAAGTGGAGCCCAAAGCCAAAAGAAGGGAGGAAATTTTAAAAATTAGAGCAGAAATTAATGTCATTTAGACTAAGAAAACAATCCAAAAATCAATGAATCACAGAGGTGGTTCTTTGAAACAACAAATAAAATTGGTAAGATCATACCCAACCTTATAATAAAAATGAAAGGAAAAGCTCAAACTCAGGCACTAAGGAATGAGAAAGGTGAAATCACCACAGACTCTGTGGAAATACAGAAGATCATCAACACCTATTTCAAAACCTCGACTCTCATAGGTTCATCAACAAAGAAGAAATGGACAGATGTCTTAGAACATATGAATTACCCAAGCTGGGTGAAGATGTAAAACTTCTGAATAACCCAATTTCTATTTATGAAATTGAAAATGTATATTAAGTTCTTATCTACAAAGAAGAGCCCAAGTCCAGTCGGATTCACTGCAGAATTCTACAAGAAATACAAAGAAGACTGAATGCTGACACTTCTCAAAATCTTCAATGAAATTGAAAGGGAAGCAATTCTTCCTAAGTCATTCCTGGAAGCAAATATTACTCTAGGACCAAAACCTGAGAAAGGCCAAGCTAAGAAAGAGAATGAAAACCCAACTTCCCTAATGAGCAAAGATGCCAAAATCCTTAATAAAATATTGGCAAACAGGATGCAGCAAATCATCATGAAGATTATACATCATGACCACAAGGGATTCATCACAGGAATGCAGGGTTGGTTCAACATGTATAAATTAATAAATGTAATCTAACATATCAATTAAGCCAAACATAAGAGTCACCTGATCATTTCTATAGATGGAGAAAAAAGCTTTTGTAAAATTCATTCATGATAAGAACCTTACAGAAAACTGGAAAAGATGGTCTTTACCTCAATATGATAAAGGCCATCGATGAGAAACCAACAGCCAGTATCATATTAAATGGCCAAAAATTGAATGCCTTTACCTTAAAATAAGGCACAAGACAAGGATGTCCCTTATCACTGCTTCTATTCAACATAGTACTGGAAATACTAGGCATAGCAATTAGAAAAGAGAGAAATAAATTGGGTAAAGATAGGGAAAGAGGAAGTTAAATAATCATTATTTGCAGATAACATGATATTCTACATAGAAGACCCCCAAAACTCCATTGAAAGTCTCCTAGATATAATAAATTCAGCAATGTAGCTGGATACAAAGTCTGTACCAAAAATCAATAGCATTCCTATACACAAACAAATAAATCATTGAGAGAAAAATGAGAAGCCACACCATTCACACTAGCATCCAAAAAAAAAAAAAAGAGAGAAATTCTTAGGAATTAATCTCAGAAATGAAGTAAAATACCTATATAGGGTAAATTATAATACCCTGAAAAAGAAATCAAAGTTGGTCTCAGAAAATGGAAAGACAACCCTTGCTCAAGGATAGGAAGAATAAATATAGTGAAAATGGCCATTCTCCCAAAACTGTTATAAAGATTCAGTGCAATCCCAATAAAAATACCATCAACAAACCACATAGATCTAGAAAAATCACTCCTAAAATTTATCTTGAACCAGAAGAGAACTGGAATGGCAAAAGCAGTTCTAAGCAACAAAGGCAAGGCAGGAGGCATCACAATCCCTAACTTGAAGTTATATGACAAAACTACTGTAATAAACTCAACATGGTTTTGGAATAAAAACAGATCTGACGATCAATAGAATAGATTAGATTATACAATCACAACTACCGACACACTCAACTACTTTATCTTTAATAAAGTGGCCTAACATGTTCACTGGAAGATCAATAGTCTTTTTAATAAATGGTGCTGGAAAAACTGGCTTTCCATATGCTGAAAACTAAAACTATTCCCATGGCTATCACCATGTACTAAACTAAATTCTAAATAGATCAAAGATCTGACAGAAACACTAAATCTGTTGGAAGACAAATTAGGTAAAAATCTTGACGACATTGGGGTAGATAGAAAATTCAAGAACAGGAATCAAAGTGCATGGGAAATACTTCGCAGAATCAATAACTGGGATCACATATTATTAACATGTTTCTGCATATTAAAAGAAATATTCAGCAGAGTGAAAAGAAAACCCACAAACTGGGAAAAAAATCTTAGTGAACTGTCCCTCAGATAAAGGATTTCTCTCTAAAACATGTTAAGAAATTTAAAAAAAAAATCAGACTCCAAAAATTCAAAGACCCAATCCAAAAATGGCATCTGAGATGAATACTCAGTTCTCAGATGAAGAAATACAAATGGCAAATAAATACATGAAAAAATGTTCATCATCATTGATCATTAGAGAAATGCCAATTAAAACCACACTGACATTCCATCTCATTCCAGAAAGAATGGCCAGGATCAAGAAAACTACCAACAACAAATGCTGGAGTGACTGTGGGGGAAAAGGAACTGGTTTAGACTGGTGCAATCATTATGGAGATCAGTCTGGAGATTCTTCAAGAATCTGGAATTGGAATTCCCATTCGACCCAGCTATTCCACTTCTAGGCATATTCCCAGAGGAACTGAAAATATCATACAACAGTGATATATGTGTACCCATGTTGATAGCAGCACAATTTGTAATAACCAGATCTGGAAACAACCTAATTGTCCATTAACTGAAGAATGGATAAAAAAGGTTGTGGTATTTTTTATGCAATGGAGTACTCCTGGGCTATAAAGAATGATCACATTGAGATATTTATAAATAAATGGACGCAACTTGAGACCATACTCATAAGTCACACTCACAACAAAGACCAGGGCTATCCTGAAAGGCACCACAGGTGTCCTCAGTGACACGGAGGCCCTGGGCTCCTCCGAGGACAAGCACTGTCAGGTATGTGCCAGGAAGCAGCATGACAAATTCATCCTGGAGGCCAAGCAGCATATGTCTCCCCCTCCAAAGCCAGGAAGCAATGCTCGATTGGACCAAACCTCTCCAAGGGAACCAACAGCTCAGACAGCAAATCGTAGGAGAACCCACAATGGCTCCCTAACACCTCAACCCTCATCTCCCTTCTTCTACACCTATTTATCCTGAAAACTTTCCTCAGGTGGAGCAACTTCATTCAGTGCCATGCTGATATAATCCAGCTGGCATTAAGTTGACCACCAGTTCTCAATCCATAGCATTGATTTTACTATGGTTGCTTTGTAGTATAACTTCAAGTCAGGGATTGTGATGCCTCCTGACTTGTCTTTGTTGCTGAGAACTTTCTTTGCTATTCTAGGTCTCTTCTCACTCCAGATGAATTTTAGGAGTGATTTCTCTAGATCTATGAGGTAGGTTGATGGTATTTTTATTGAGGTTGTATTGAATCTGAATTAGAGTTTTGGGAGAATGTTCATTTTCACAATATTTATTTTTCTTATCCATGAACAAGGGATGTATTTCCATTTTCTGAGAACATTTTCAGTTTCTTTTTTCAGTGTATTATAATTTTCCCTGTATAGTTCTTTCACTTCTTTTGTAAGATTAATTCCTAAATATTTCATTTTTTGGTTGTTAGTGTGAAGGATGTGGCTTCTCTTATTACTCTGTCAGTGAATTTGTTGTTGGTGTATAGAAATGCTATTGATTTTTCAGAATTGATTTGTATCCAGCTACATTACTTAATTTATTTATTATATTTAAGAGTCTTTCAATGGAGTTTAGGGGGTCTTCTATGTAGAGTATCATGTCATCTACAAACAATGATAATTTAACTTCCTCTTTCCCTATCTTTACCCCTTTTATTTCTCTCTCTTGTCTAATTGTTCTGCCTTGTATTTCCAGTACTATGTTAAATAGGACTGGTGATAAAGGACATCCTTGTCTTGTGCCTGATTTTAAACTAATGGCCTTCAATTTTTGGCCATTTAATATGATACTGGCTGTTGGTTTGTCATAGATCGCATTTATTATATTGAGGTCAAGACCATCTAATCCAATTTTCTGGAAGATTCTTATTGTAAATGAATGTTGGACCTTATCGAAAGCTTTTTCTGCATCTATAGAAATGATCATGTGATTCTTACTTTTGGCTTTGTTGATATGGTGCATTACAGTTTTTGATTTATGTATGTTGAACCATCCCAGCATGCCTGGGATGAATCCCACTTGGTGATGATATATAATCTTCTTGATGATTTGCTGCATCCTATTTGCCTATATTTTATTGAGGATTTTTGCATGTGTGTTCATTATGGAGATTGGTCTATAGTTCTCTTTTTTAGCTGGGTCTTTCTCAGGTTTTGGTACTAGAGTAATATTTGCTTCCAGGAATGACTTAGGAAGGATTGCTTCTCCTTCAATTTCATTGAAGAGTTTGCGGAGTGTTGGCTTTAGGTCTTCTTTGTATTTCTTGTAACATTCTGCAGTGAATCCATCTGGGCCTGGGCTCCTCTTTGTAGGTAGGGACTTAATTACATTTTCAATTTCATTAATAGACATTGGGTTTTCAGCAGTTTTACATCCTCTTGACTTAGCTTTTGTACTTCATATGTTGCTAGGACTCTGTCTACTTTTTGTGTTTTATCAAACCTTTGAGAGAACAGGTTTTCCAAATTGGTGTTGATAATCTTCTGTATTTTTATAGAGTCTGTAGGGATTTCACCTTTTTCATTTCTTATTGCATTAAATTGAGGTTTTTTTCCCTTTTTAAAATAAGGTTGTCGAGGGGCTTATCAATTTTATTTATTCTTTCAAAGAACCAACTCTTTGATTTATTCATTCTTTGGATTTTTTTTTTTTTTTAGTCTTTATTGCATTGATTTCTGCTCTGATTTTTATAAATTCCTCTCTTCTTTTGGCTTTGGGCTTGATTTGCTCTTCTTTTTCTAGCTGTTTGAGGTGTAGTATCAGGTTATTAATTTGTATTCATTCTGTTTTCCTGATGTGGGAACTGAGTGCAATAAATTTTCCTCTGAGAATGGCTTTCATGGCATCCCACAGATTCCAGTATGTTGTATTTGTATTTTCATTTTCTTGTAGATATTTTTTAATTTCTTCTTTAGTTTCTCCTGTGACCCACTGATTATTCAAGAGTGTGTTATTCAGTTTCCATATATTTGTGGGATTTTTGCATTATCTTTTATCATTAATTTCTAATTTCAAAGCGGTATGATCCGATAACATGCAAGGTATAATTTCAGCTGTTTGCATTTATTTAAATGTGTTCTGTGAGTTAATATATGGTCTATTTTAGAGAATGACCCATGTACTGCTGAGAAGAATGTGTATTCTGATGTTGTTGGATGGAACACTGTACATTTCTATCAAGTCCATTTGTTCACATGTGTGATTCAGTTCTGTTATTTCTTTGCTGATTTTCTGTCTGGTTGATCTGTCCTTTGGTGTCAATGGTGTGTTAAGGCCTCCTATTACGTTTGTGTTACTGATAATTTGATTTTTCATTTCTGTTAATACTTGTTTTATAAAACTGGGTGCTTTGGAATTTTGTGCATACATATCTAAGATAGTTATCTCTTCCTCTTGAAGTTTTCCCCTAACGAGTATGTAGTGACCTTCTTTGTCCTTTTTGATCATTATTGGTTTAAAGTTCACTGTGTCTTCAAACAGAATGGCTATTCCTGCTCTTTCTTGGTTTCTTGTTGCATGAAGTATTGTTTTCCATCCTTTGACTTTCAGTCTGAGAATATCCTTCTGTGTTAGATGGGTTTCTTGTAGACAGCATATGGTTGGATTTTGTTTCTTGATCCATTCTCCCCGTCTGTTTCTTTTAATTGGTGCATTGAGACCATTTACATTAATGGTTATTACTGTTATATGTTGGTTTATTGTTGACATGTTATCTTCTGCTGTTGCATCTTTATCTTTCTATTCTGTTTTAATTATCTGCTTTGCTTAGTGGATTTTCCTAAGTGTATCTAAACTGTCTTTCAATATTTTTTGCAGGGTTGGCTTGGTGATCATTAAGTTCTTCAGCTATTCTTTGTCATGGAAGTATCTTCTTCCACCATCGATTTTGAAGGATAATTTTTCAGGGTACATCCATCTAGGTTGGAAATCATTTTCCTTTAGGATCTGGACTACTTCACTCCTTGCTCTTCTTGACTTTATTGTTTGTGTTGAGAAGTCTGTTTTAATTCTGATAGATTTTCCTTTATAAGTGATCTGTCTTTTCTCTCTGACAGCATTTAATAATCTATTCTTGTGTTGGATTTCTGGGATGGTGATTATTATATGTCTGGCTGTAGTTTTACTTTGGTTATGACTATTTGGAATTCTTTATGCTTCACTGAACCTGATGTCAGTTTCTGATCTCATGCTTGGGAAATTTTCAGCTATTACTTCTCTAAATATCCTCTTGGCATGCTTTGTGTCATCCCCTTCTTTTTCATTAATCCCTATCAATCTTATTTTGTTTTTCATTGTGCTGTCTTGCAGTTGTTGAATTGTTATTTCCTGATTCTTTGTTGTTTTTAAAAGATCTTTCCTTTCCTGTTCATTAGCTACAATCTTGTCATCGGGGTCTGAAATTCTATCTTTACTTTCTTTGAGGCAGCTTTTACAGCTTTCAGTGGAGTTTTTGATTTGCTGTATATCTCTGTGCATCTGATTTGTGTACTCTGTTTGTTTCTTATATTGCTCATCTTGGAATTCTATCTTTTTGTTTAGTTCCTCCAATTTTTAAACTGTGTTTTCTTTAGATATATTCAACATCTCTTTCATTTCTTTTGTCACTTCTTGTTTTACTTGGGAGATTATTTCTTGTTTGAATTCCTTTAAAGCTTCCCAGAGCTTCTTGTTTATTTCAGTTGCTATTATGTCTAATATTTGAGGTGTGTGGCATATATTTTCTTCTGTATACATCACTCCTAAAGTTTCTTGAGATAGCCTGGAGGTTTGAGATAGTAATTTGGTCTTTTGTTTTGTCACTTTCCCATATTTCTGTGTTTCAAGTATTATTTGAAAGCTTCCTCAGGGTCTGTTGGAAATCCACTTCTATGCCCTCAGCTCCTGGGACTCGGGCACCACATTCCCCCAGGCTACTGGGCCTCTGGAACTGGTGGCGCTCATCTGCTTGCTTAGAACTCCACAGTTCTCCAAGCACAGCCAAAACGGGGAGGCTATTGCAGCCACCCCAGAGCTGCCTAGCAGTTCCAGTGCACCTGGAAGGCTCAAGGGTCCCTATCAAGCTGGGATCAGGGGAAAGTGTGCAGGGCACTTACCCAGGACACTGGGCCTCTGGAACTGGTGACATTGCCTGGTTGCTTAGAACTCCACAGTCCTCCAAGCACATGGGGAGGCAGATGCAGGTACCCCAGACCTGCCTAGCAGTTCCAGTGCACCCAGAAGATGCGAGGGTACCAAACAAGCTGGGCTGGGGGGAAAGTGCAAGGGGCACTTACCCCAGGACACCAGGCCTCTCTGTCTTATTTTATTTAATATCTTATTTTGATTGGTTTTATTCTCTCATATTGTTTGATCTTATGATGCTAAGGGCAGTAGTTTCTTTTTTGGTACTAGGGATTGAACTCATGGCCTCACACTTGCCAGTGGCATTTAAACCCTGTGCTAATCCCCAGCACCTATGGGCAGCAATTTTGAAGATAACAAGAGCCATTGTGAACCATTGTTGATTTCATATTATCCTGTTTTGAAATCCTGTATCACTATCAGTGTTTTGCTTTCTTTGACTTTTTACTGGGTTATTTGGTTTTATTTTCTTTGAAATAAAAAAGATTAATAATCCAAATGCAAGAAAATCTGAGTAAAATTTATATTAATACATAGTTGTACTGTATCTTTACATTGGTTATCAGAATATTGTACATGCATTCAGCCTATCTGAACTTTTTATTTCACTTCCTGATCTCCCTTTTCCCCTTCCATCATTTCCTTATCCTGTTTCCACTTGTCAAATATCTCTCATTTTCCAATTACTGATCTTTTGTTTTTGTTAATAAATGTAAAATTATACACAGTATTTGTGTAGGTAAAGTCAGTCAACTATATATAGCAGCTTCCTGAATATACAAGTACATATAGATTTCATCATCCTTCCTGTGTTTCTACTAAACTCACAGATTTTGATTCCAATAAACAGAATCCCAAATTATGGTTGTGAAGTTACATTGTAACTGTGAAAATGGAAAGCCACAAGTGCACTGGGCAAACATGTGTTGATCACAAGCATATGAGTCAATGCCTGAAAAAAAATGTATCAGGTTCATCTACCAAAAAATTTGACTAAGGGGTGCCTGTATTTTGAGGTTTCAGATTTGCTCTGGCATATTCAGTAGGTCTGTTGAGTGATATGGAAGCAGCCAAGGTAATCATACTCGCTATTTATGCACATGTTAATTCTGTCAGTGCAGCAGGAGCTAATATTAAAAATTCCAAACCAAGTATTACAAGGTTAAAATCTTGTGCCATTGACAGTACCACTAAATTTCATGCCCCTATGATCCATTGTTAGTCTCAATTTATCTCATAGCTACTGTGTGATGTCACATCATGAAAAGAAACATGAATACAGTAGCAAGAGCAACATTCATAGAAAGACAGCACATTCACTGGGCACCAGTTACACTATAATTCAAATTACCATTACAGCATCAAGTAAAATTCCTTGCATAACTTATCATTTAAACTTCGATAGGTATGTATGTATATAATATGCTGTGTGTGTGTTTCATTACTATCTACTGTTGGAAGCATACATTAGGCACATGGAATCATGTTCATCAAATAAGGGACATTACACTTTTAGTTTAATAGAAAGGCACATTGCTCCTACATTACAGGCTTGTAACAACAGACGAAAAGTCAGAAATAGTCTGGAGAAGTCACATGACAGAACACTTTGTCAAATGACAAAATGCATGTACACTGTCCAAGAATATCTACTCTTCCATTCGAAAGTCTATATCACATGTTTTCTTAAAATTTTTTTAACTTACTCTCAGATCACTACATTGGTTTCATATGGGATATGATTGAACCTGAGAAGGAATAAACCTGGAAGAAGGATACATTTTTGAAAGGAAAATGCCTTTTTAAGATGTTCAGTATATGCTCTGGAAAAGAATATGTGGGTTTATGGTAATGGTTATGAGGCAGAAAAACAGCGTCTAATGGCAAAGACAACAGAAGTATCACCAGACAGAGAGCACTACTACACAAGCATCACCTGAACCTTTAGAAAACTACTGATAAGGAAGCAGATGAGTTTATGTTTGAGATATTGTACTCCAAACCGGTTTGATGACATATCACTTTTTGTGGATCTCTTCATAGTCTCAAAACTGTATCTACTTGTCCTTTTAAAGCCCATGTATAGTATCAGTATTTTATTTCTAATTTATTAGGTAACAAAACATGAATCATGGATGGACACAGAGTGATATTCAAAGATTTGAGTTCAACATGCTTGCCTTAATCTGTAAATATTGATGTGATATGCATTGATTACATCTTCAACATGAGGTTATAGTGGAGCTGACAGAGAAGAAGCAATGAATGTCCCTTGGTGCAGACTGGACAGTCATATTCCAGGTAGGTGGCCTCCAGCTGGAGATAACAACAACAGAACACTAAAAAATGCAAAGAATGAAATGCTTCAGACTGTTGGAATGTTAGACTCATACATAAAAGTCATGAAGAAGGCAGAAGCCACAGCCATTGAGGTTGTGAACCTAATTTCCTTGGGCTTTCTCCATTTTTGTTTTTGACATGCATAGACATATGGGTGTAAATCTCTAATTTGTATACATGAAATATTTGTTGTCAGGCTCAGAATTAGATTCTTTCTTGTAGATTCTGGAGAAAGGTGTGATGAATTTTGCAGTTTAGTGAGAACCTTAAAGAGACTTCAGGTAAGGGTCTTCTTCTAGTAAATATTAGTGTATAAGATGTTACATTTTGCCAGTGGGAAAAGAGAGCAGCTGGCCATGGTCAGATCCCAGATTTGAAATTTTACTACTTCTTGCATGGTCACCAGGATTCACTGTGGCACACCATTTCAGCAGTCAATATCATCCTCTATATGGAAAAGTTATTTACCTGTGTGAATGTGAATGTGTCCTTTGATCATTGGTGCAGCAGGTGGCTTTCTTCTCACTTTTGATTCTTGTGTAGAACACTGGTGCTCAAGGAATGTAATAGATATGTTAATAATTAGTATCTTGCTTTTATGTTTTCCTAGTTTTTTAGTTAAATGTGCCATAGAGAGATGTGGTGGTGCACTCCTGTAATTTTAGCATTCAGGGGAGCTTACACAAAGGAGTTGCACATTTACAAGTTTGCAGCATTGCTGGGCAATAGCAACATACTGAAACATTTCTCAAGAAAATATGGTTGGATATCGTGAGTATCTAGTGTACTCTGGACTCCGGGAAAGGCAAACACGCAAACATGCCTGACCGGGACATGGGGGGTGCAGCGCTCGGAAAGGAAAACAGAAGAGACACGGCACTTTTACTGCCTGCACCGCGTTGCACTGCACTGCACACACAATCTTTATTTTAAGATTCCTATATAGTAAACCAGATCAGTTCACAGAGCCCAGACAATTAAGTAGTGAAAAGGCATTCTTTGTGACAAGCTACAATGTGACAGACTACAATGTTTATTCTAAACTATCTAAGTGAAGTAAACAACCACAACCAGTTCTCCTAACTCCTCTAGCCCAGAAGGAAATTCATTAGCCCAAGAATGATGTTAATTTTGTTTGCTGCTAGTGTCACAAAGGGTGGCCAGCCACTTCCTCAAGACTTCTGCAAAGCAAAGCCAGCTCACACAGTATGGTTTCCAGAGGGTGAGAGATCTCACTGAGAACAGGCATTCCTGTCCTACCTCTGTCTCGCATACTGGGGGCTATTGTTTACTGCAGGTTTGAGGGGGTTGGGGCCTTCAAAGTGACACCTCATCCCCCACAGCTGGAGATGTGTATATGTGCTCTGATATGAACTCTAACCTGTAAAAAGTAAAATGGCCTAGTTGGCTAAAAATTCTGAGAAAATTTTAACAATGAATCTATCTGCCCCATTCCATACTGCTCAATGATGATATCACATACATTATGCTCTACTAGTGGATTGACCATACATACTGTAAAATGCCCTCCCTCTCTGAGTTCTGCTGTCCCCAGGTGAAGCAGTGTAGAAATCTGAGCACACTTATTGATGTATTTCCAGGTGAGAACTGTAGCAATGTCTGACTTATTTATGTCTGACTTGGAAAGTCTACACCTGCTCTAGAAAGGCAAGAGCAAGTTTACCTTAAGGAAATCAACCCAATGGAACTGCAGCTATAACCCTTCTCTCCTTTCTTTTTTGTTTTCTTCAATTGATTCTCTTTCTCTTTTTCCTCAATTAGTCTTGAATTTAAACTTTCAAGTGAGTTATATTGTCCCTGCCTTTCTTGGTTACTTTTCTCTCATTGTTGAGACAAAATTCCTGATGTTCAAAGTTAAGTAAATTTTAGTTAACTACAAATTTTGGAGATAACAATTCACACTTAGCTGGCTTTAAAGGCAGAGTGGCATGGTTGGGGTCAGCTGTTCATGTTGGCTGAAAATGACAAAAGCTAAAGGACAAAAGAGGAAAACACATGTCTCCTTCCTTCTCTTACATTGTGTTCTGAAAAGACTTCCCACACCTGGGCAGGTGGAGCACTCACACCAAATTCCCAGCACTAGGACAATGAACCAATCACAAATACTAGATTTGCCTCCATGATTGCATGACGCTTGAGGAGGTCTATCCAAACACAAACCATAACTGTGTCTTTTCTGATTATTCTCTCACTTTCTATTTCATTTGTTTCCTTAAATTTCCCAAAACTTAGGTAATCATTCTTGACCTCCAGCTTTGACTGTGCTGTGTATGACCTCATTCATCACTTTAGACAACCTCTATCCACATAAATGCTCTATTCCCCTATAAAATGGTAAAATAACTACACTAACGTGAAAACAAAAGCATAAAAGTGCATGGTGTATTTTTGATTTCATTAAATATTCACAGAGTTTCATCCTGTGGAGTTAGCCAGGTATGGTTGCCATAGTTAGTAGTTAAGCTGAAGTTGAGACAAGTGCTATTATTAACTGTACTATTTTAGCTAGTTAGTAATATATTATAAACAGTTCTCTCATGTAGGATAACACTGTGATTGCAGGGAGTCATAATCAGCTTCACAGTCCACCAACAAAAATTAGGGGCTAAACTTCAGGTGAATTTTGCATCCTATATACATTAGGATGATGCATTCTTGGGATAGCTATAAAAATGCAACCATATATGAAGGATATCCTTGAAATAAGCCTCAATATTAGTAATAAAGCAATATATCATATGAGATTGGAGCACATAGAAAAGAAAATGAAAGAGAAAATAGAAAATGACAAGATACAGAAGCAAAATCGAACCCTAGTCTTTCACCCCACTTGTTATTAGCCCAAAGCACAATGAGATAGATAAAATTGCATGTCAAAAGCTGGAGCTATCTGCCATGATAACAACAGAATTGTAAATACCAAAAAGTTTACAGAGAAATTCTATCAGATTAAAAATAATGCTTTAAGTCAAATTTGTTAGAGAACACACAACTAAAAGAATGTGTAAACTTAGAAAAATGATGAAAAACAAAAATTGCCATACATAGCAAAAAAAATTGAATCCATGAAACAGATTCAATCAGAAATTCAAGAGATTAAAATGTATGTGATATATAAACCTGTAAGAGATTAAAAGTATATGCAAAAGACTGAACAAAAGAGAGTGTTAGAATTTCAGATTTTGAAGACAAAATTGTTGCTAGTGGTCATGAAAAGAATGCTATCATAAAACTAGGAAGAGACTATGAGAAATCAACAGGTACAAAATGAAGCAAAAAAGAATAATATGAGATTGATTGGGGTCAACGAGAAAGCTGGACACAGGACAAATACTATAAACAACTTCAGAAAAATAATGGCAGAAAACAGCCCAAGTACGGAGAAAGTATGTGACATATAGGGCAAGGGATTTAGCTCACTGACATAAGTGCTTGCTTGGAAGAGGTTGTGAGTTCAATGCCAAGCACAAAAAAAAAAAAAAAAAAAAAAGAAAGAAAGAAAGAAAAAAATTTGACACATTCAAATGAAGCGTATAGAACTCCAAATAGATGTAACCAAACTGAAACTACACCAAGATATATTCAAGATTCTAGATTTCAGCACATGAACACAATATTAAAAGTGGGTAGGGAAAAATCACAGATCACTAATAATTGAAAGCCCATCAGAATCACAGTAGTCTTCATTGTAGCTTGGCATTACTGACACCATCATGAGCTCTGCATTTCACTAGTGCACTGTATTTGATGCAGGAGGATGGAAAATTACTTGGTGTATATGTCTTATGAGAAAAGCAGAATGAGCTGCACCTACAGGAAACAATTAACCTGCTCAAAAAAAAAGAAGCAGGATACAGGTGTAAACCAAAGATCAATGGAAGATTCTCCTTCAATAGTTTCCAATAGGATGTCACATTGTTGGTTTTCCCTGTTTAAAAGTTTGTAAGTTTCCGGTTCAGGGCCAATTGTTTGGGCTCTGAAATGGGCAGGGTCTGTATATGACTAGTCCAGAGTTCAGTTAATTAAATTCCAAATATATCAGTTGGGCTGCTCGGAATCCTATATTTTTATTCATGAACCTACCTCAGTATTCTCAACACAAATATCCAAGTGAAGAAGAGTTTGGACAGAAGTAAAAGTCTTGAAAGAAAAATCTTCCAATCTACATTTGATGTATACTGGAAAACTTTCAAAATTAGTGGAAACATAAGATACTTCCATCACAAAGAACAACTTCCAAATTGAACTGAGAAAAAATAATGAAAGTTACATAGAGAGGTAAAAATGGCCACAATTCCAAGAAAAGCACAAAAACCACCAGGCAGGACAAGTAATTAAACCTAGGAGAAAAGCAGAAAACCAACAGCAGAACAACATTAAAACAAAGACAAACCAATACATATCACTGTAAATGGCCTCAACTCACCTACCAAAAGAAGTAAATGGGGAGAATGGATCAAGAAACAAGATCCAAAAATATGCTGTATGCAAAAGACTTGTTTAAGGCAAAAAGAAATTCAGAAATTCAAAGTCAAAGGATGGAAAACAATCTTTCATGTAACAAGGACCCAGAAAAAAGCATGAGTAGCTATTCTCTTTGGAGACAATATGAACTTCAAACCAAGAATGACCAAAAAGATAAAGAACCTCACTCCATACTTGTTAAGGGAAAAATTTGAAAAGGATAAGATAACATTCACAAATATGTATGCATCTAATACAGGAGCACTTAACTACATAAGACAATTATTAAAAGACATGAAAAATCAAATAATTCACACAATTGATACAGGAAGATTCAATACCCTACTATCACAAACAGATAGATGAACTAGTCAAAAAACCAGAAAATAAATATGAAAGCTGAACCAAATCTGTGAACAAATGAGCTGAATAGATGTTTACCAACTATGTGACCCAACATAATCAGAAAAAGCTTT